AAATATGCTTGGGTTTTGGATAAATTGAAAGCTGAACGTGAACGTGGTATTACCATTGATATTTCACTTTGGAAATTCGAAACAGCAAAATACTATGTTACCATCATTGATGCTCCAGGCCATCGTGATTTTATCAAGAACATGATTACTGGTACATCACAAGTATGTTTTTTTCTTTTGCTACCTATAATTTCAAAGCAAAGATGTACGAGACAATATCACGCGTGGGCGTATCGTATGTTTCGTTTGTCTTTGCTTTGTGAATGCGTTTCTTCAGTATTGTTTCAGAAAGCATAGAATGACGAAGAGCGCAAGATTATCTTGTGTAGCTCAATTTCAAAGTACCATAATTTCTTTTGTATTTAGGCTGATTGTGCTGTGTTAGTCGTTGCTGCTGGTACTGGTGAATTTGAAGCTGGTATCTCCAAAAATGGTCAAACACGTGAACATGCTTTACTTGCTTACACATTAGGTGTCAAACAAATGATTGTTGCTGTTAACAAAATGGATACAACTGAGCCACCATATTCAGAAAAACGTTTTGATGAAATTAAAACTGAAGTATCCAATTATATTAAGAAAATTGGTTATGCTGCACAAGGTGTACCATTTGTACCAATCTCAGGTTGGCATGGTGATAATATGGTTGAAGGAACAGAAAAAATGCCATGGTATAAAGGTTGGGCAGTTGAACGAAAAGAAGGTAATGCAAGTGGTAAAACACTTTTGGATGCTCTTGACTCTGTTGTTGCACCTCAACGACCAACTGATAAACCACTTCGATTACCATTACAAGATGTTTATAAAATTGGTGGTATTGGTACAGTACCTGTTGGTCGAGTTGAAACTGGTATTCTCAAACCAAACATGGTTGTTAATTTTGCTCCATCAAATTTACAAACTGAAGTTAAATCAATTGAAATGCATCATGAAGCCCTTCAAGGTAAGAGACTCTTTTTTTTTGTTGAGATGTTTGTTTCGTTTTACACAGAATATTTGTTTTTGTAGAAGCTGTACCAGGTGACAATGTTGGTTTTAACGTAAAAAATGTTAGTGTTAAAGAACTTCGACGTGGTTTCGTTGCTTCAGATGTTAAGAATGATCCTGCTCAAGAAACAGCTAATTTCGTAGCTCAAGTAATATTTCTAATATTCTATTTGAATATTGTTAATAATGATATACATTTTAGGTTATTGTTCTTAATCATCCCGGTCAAATCGGTGCTGGTTATGCTCCAGTTCTTGATTGTCATACAGCACATATTGCTTGCAAATTTGCTGAATTACTTGAAAAAGTTGATCGTCGATCGGGTAAAACAATTGAAGAAGCACCAAAATTCCTTAAATCAGGTGAAGCCGCTATGATAAAAATGATTCCATCAAAACCAATGTGTGTTGAAAAATTTTCTGATTATCCACCATTGGGTCGATTTGCCGTCCGTGATATGCGTCAAACGGTAGCTGTTGGTGTTATTAAAGAAGTTGAAAAGAAAGCTGCATCATCAGGCAAAGTTACCAAATCAGCAGCTACAGCTGCTGCTAAAACTGGCAAGAAATAGCTTGAGAAGTATCTTCGTAAACACTCATCACGATATACAGAACATTTCTTTTTTTCAGAAGTTTCCACTATAGTTAAATCTATTATTGTCGTTCAACTTTTTCTAGCTACACATTGGGAAAAAAGACGACGGCGGAAAGATTTTTTTTCTTTGAGTAATGTTTCCCATAAGTTATTCTTTTCTCTTGTTTCGTTTTAGGCAACATTATCTCTTCTCTGTCTTACTGTTATAACTTTTCACGTTTGTTGTTTTTTTGTTTGTTTCTTGTTATGCGCCTTGTACCCTATTTCCGTTTCCTTCTAGATAAGGGTTTCTGAAATTCTCCTGTACGTGATGATAATATCTGACGTGTTTGCGAAACTTTTCGTAAAGCTGTTCATTCTATTTTTTTCCAACATAGCTTCTCGAATTGAACATACTCGTTTGGAACAAACATTAAATGAAGCTTGTAGTTTTTTTGCGAGTACGCATGGTGGAAAAAAATTTTATAAAACGATTTCATCGGAGTAAGAAAAACAAAAAGAAAAATAAATACAATCATAACAACATAACTTTATGTTTTCTTTTTTTCTAGTTCTTATGAGAATGATTTACTATTCTATTGTTTTATTTTCATATGTTCTAGATTTTCATTCGGTTCTATTCTCGTTCGTCATAACAAAACCTATTAATCATGGGAAAAGAAAAAATTCATATCAACATTGTCGTCATTGGTCACGTCGATTCAGGTAAATCAACATCAACTGGTCACTTGATCTACAAATGTGGTGGTATTGATAAACGAACAATCGAAAAATTCGAAAAAGAAGCTGCTGAAGTATGTTTTTTCTATTTACGAATCTTTTCTACTTGTAACTATGATTGTTTTTTTTTCTTGATTGTATAGATGGGTAAAGGTTCATTCAAATATGCTTGGGTTTTGGATAAATTGAAAGCTGAACGTGAACGTGG